AGTAATGGGCCGAAAATCTGATTTGTCTCAGAAAAAATTGATGCGATCGACCCATTTGAATGGTTTAAAAAACATTCGATTCCTATTGATAGGAAGATGTGCTGATTAGTTTTTGGCAAAGACAGGTCCAACCATTACGGTGATTACGGTCCAATTTGAATGATCCTAAAACATTCATAATGTATAATTATTAAAAGTGGTGATTAGTTTTTGGCAAATCCAGGTCCAGCCATATTGAAGATACAGTGCTAAATGTATAAAAAATGGCAGTTTTTTAGTGAACTAAGCATCTTATTTGAATGTTTCGAAAAACTTTCTGCTTGTATTGACAAAACAATTGCTTTTGGAAAAAAAATATTTCAAGATTTTTTTATATATCGAAAATAATTAAAATTTAATTTTAATACTGGTAATAATGTTCTAAAGCTCACTTATTTATTTCAAATAAATACTTTTAACTTTGTAATTCAGTTCATATAATTCTTATAAATATTAGCAAATGTTACAATATTTATATTAATTTTTTGTTACGGTACGGAAAGTCGCAGCAATTTGTCTAGGGGTTAACCTAACAATTTGTCTAGGTGTAACCTTAAAGCACGATGCCATACACCACTAGTTTTTCTTTTTTTATTTTCTTGATGGATGCCTGTTTAAAAAGATTTTTATTTAATGAACATTATTATCACCATTCAAAAAAATATGTATATTTAATTAATATCATGTATATATTATAATTAGTGTGTTTATTTGGGCAAAAACACCAAGTAAAAAAAAAACTGAAGCATTTAGGAAATCAGCGTTATTAATCCATACTTTTCTGTCTACATTAAGACCCTTATGCAGCGGAACAACTAGAAAATTAGATAATTAATTTTAAAAAAGAGGAAATGCAAAAATATTGGACTTATCGATAGACACTTACAGACAAAAATAAATTATAACTATACTACACTAGTTGACACAAAATATAAAACCAAGATATCAATAGTTCAAACATTCAAAACTAAATATGATTTTGAGTTGAGAAACTATATTTATACACAAAGTTGTTATAAGGCTGACCTCTGAATGAATTGTGTTTACAAAGATTTTTTTAAAATGTGTGAAATGGTAAGACATATTGTTCCGGAAAGTAATAAAAAGGGACATACTTTATTCAGTTTTTAATTTTGTTTGAAAATTGGTCGAGGAATATTTTGTATTAATTACAATGCGAATTACTGTTAGTACGTTTGTTAATGGGTTTATTGCATAACGAAATCAGACAACCCTTAGTAAATCTCCTTTTAAATAAATTAGTTTTAAAATGTAAGATGCTCGAGTTAAGAAAATTAATGCTATGCTGAAGATTATTTATGTGCTCTGTGAGCATTGTTTTGCCCTGATTCATATTATTCTAATAATACCTTTTAATTCAATTAAATTAGATTTGGCTGGGTTTCAATTATGCGAAAGTTCAAGTCCAAGTCCAACAAGAAGGATAATGTCTGGAAGTCTTTATCGTGATGATAGCGAGTTAGGTTCGACTTCCAAACTGCAGCAGCAAAATAGAAAAATGGGCAAACGTAATATAAAAGCTCAGGTACACTTATTATTATAATATTATATATATTAAGATGATAAATTTTAGAGAGCACGTTTATAAATGCATAACTATTTTTTAATTTATACTTTGTATTAATTATTAAATAATAATTTTTGTGATAATAATGGTATCCATTCATATTAAGTCCTGCAATTTTCGTTATAAATGCATTTCATAAGATGTCTGCCAAGTAACATGATATATTCATAATATTATTTTTTTCTTCAGGTGAAACGATTTCGAATGGAGACGAAAGCTGCCAAAACTCTTGCAATAATTGTCGGTGGTTTTATTGTATGCTGGTTTCCCTTTTTCACAATGTACGTAATAAGAGCATTTTGTCCAGACTGCATTCATCCTGTTCTCTTCTCGGTTCTATTCTGGCTCGGCTACTGCAATTCTGCCATCAATCCGCTGATTTATGCACTTTTTAGCAAAGATTTTAGATACGCCTTCAAGCGCATCATTTGCAGGTATGATAATTGCAATTATTCATAGATTTTCATTACTATTACCACACTTCTTTATCTATGACTATTACAAATTTAAAGCAATTTCGTATCACACAATATCTTGCCAATATTGAGAAGTAACAAAAGTCTACTTTTTAGAATTTCAATATTTTATAATGCAATTTTGGCAATAATGGAAATATATAAATTCAATTCCTGAAAAAAAAAATTTTTTAACCTTCCGAAGGAGAAGTTTATGGTTTCTTAAAAAAATCCGATTCGGTAATTTTATGTTTTTCTCGACGTTTCAAGCAACGTCATAGAATTTGAATGAAACAGACCGACGATCAGCCAAAAATCAAGCCGATTATTATGGAACTTTTTTGGCGATATATATCATATAGAACTTACTGAAATATTACGACCTTATGACAAGTAGTTTAATTTTAAAAATTCATCAAAGTTTGAGAAAATTAGTAGTTTTTTGACGTTTGTTAAAATTAAAATTAGGTGATTTACTTGGTATAACAATAGAGTACTTTGTCGTAATGAACATATTAAACCATTATAAAGTCCGACGCAAACTGGTTCAATTATAAAAATTGTTGATTTTTGAAATTATGCTTTTAGAAAATACTCCGAGTTAACGTGTTCGTTCATTTTCAATAATATGTAATAAATCTGCTAGGAATACTTTCAATCACTCATAAATTAATTTATTTTCTATTGATTAAGTCGATTATTTATACATATCAGAAAGTTTATGTAACTTGCCTCGAGGAAAAATACCATTACCAACTAGTTATAATGGCAGTTACATTGTTGAATAAGTCGTGGATTCACCTGATCAATATATCATCTTGCATTGTAGGTAATATTAAACCATCATTACAGTATCTTTTATTTATAAAATAATCTATTCTTCCGATAAATGTAATATAATTATTTCTTAATTTATCTGGTTTACCTACAACAGTTTTCACTGTTCTTTTTCATTTCATCAATGTTTTATTGATATTGTTTTATTTGAAAGTGCATTTAATATTGCAATGATAAAAATATTTTTATTTAGATACTGCTTTTGTTGCGGTAATCGTACCGAGGCCCAGCACAGCGGTGGAGCTGGTGGTTCTAGAAGAGGGTCCGATGGATCTCAAATGAAAACTAATTTTAGGTAATGTCAGAATCAGTATTCTGGGTCAAATATAATTGCAAGCTAATTCATAATTGGTTATTATTGATTTAGGTTTAATACCAGTTTTAATACCAAAAACTGCGTTCGTCAAGATAGTGATAATGATGTCACAAGATGACCCGCAGCTAATGTGGGATTGCAGGTGTGTATTGATCTAGATTATAAATTATGAAAAGAAAAATTAATATTATATAAAGATAAAAGTAAAATATTTCAGATGTAGCATTTGCATCATGTTAATTAATTTAATAATTATTAATATTTCTTTTTCAATTTGTTTTTATTTAACTTGATAATAAGATAGGGTCATTTAAATTTAGCAAAGTATTCTATTTAGAAAATTAATTAATTATAAATATATATATATGTATATATATATATATACATTGTTTTTTATTCTATTAATGATCCTTTTCTGTTTAGAGTCGAGTTTGAAAAAAGTCTAGTCTCAAAATCTGTGCAATCTTGTGAATTAAAAGGAGTGAATAAAGACAATCGTAGAGTGCCGTAAAAATATTTTCATATAATGAAAATAAATCGTGAATATATCAAAAATAAATTGTATAAGATTGCATGTAAATTTACAGAAAATTCTTCCAAAATTTTATCAATGTTGGATAATGTAAAATATGTCATGTAAATTTTATTGAGCAAGCATTTCAATTTATTGCCTAAATACAAGTTTTGTTTTCAATATAAAATATAAAATATAAAAACTGATGTAAATAGATGAAAAAATAAATTGTTATATTTGAATAACTAAAATTGCGTTTTTGTCACATTTTTATTATTAAGTTTGTTTTTAACTTCCCGGAGGATCAGTTGTAATAAACGCAATAAAATAATCGGAATTAAAAATTTTTGCTAATCTTTACATTTTAACGGTTTCTGGATATTTTAAAATACCGTGAAGAAATTGATGTGTGTGGCGTGTGTGTATGTATTAGGGTTTATACAAAAAACCGACATTTCGAAAAACCGGTTTTCGAATATTAATTTTACCAATAAACCGGTTTTAGCCGGTTTTCGAATTTTATATAGAAAATAAATTTTTGCTCGAATATTCTGTAACAACAAAAATTTATCTGCAAATTTAGTGCGATTTAAAGCAGTATTTTAATAAATTTATTTATTGGTCAATTTTATGGATAGTAAACAAAATTATTTTAATTTTAATTAGTAAAAAAAAAGTTTATCTGGATTAATAACTTTGAAAATAATTATTCGTTATTCGAATGAAAATATTTTTATAGTGAAAGGAAAGTTTTTGAATAAATAAAAATAATACATTTTTAAATAAAAAACAATTATTAATTTAAAAACAAATATAAAAAAATTAGATACATGTTGATACATACTTGTGAATTACAATTTTAGTTTTAAAAACAATTAAGCTAAACTATTATTTTTTATTCCGAGCAATTTTAATTAATTAATTTTAAAAGTTCTAATTATTTTCTTGTTTAAAAGTCTGATATAATAATTCTAAGATTTTTGTTCTTTTATTTGTGGCTTCTAGGGTTAAAAACTCTTTTTTTAAGTTTGAGTAGAAAAAGTTACTTCTTCAAAAAGAAGACACTGATTTAAATTAATATATACATTGGTATAAAAATCTAAATTTATATATATATTAGACAAAAGAGAACACAAAACTTTTCTGAGAACCATAGCAGGCTGATATGGTTCTCCAAGAATCAAAACGCTTGCAACTATCTTTTATATTTGGCTATTTTCGTTATTTTCCATTTATACAGTGAAAAATTTTCGTCAAAAAAACGATTTTTAAAACCGGTTTTTGAAAACCGACAAACCCTAGTATGTATGTTTGGATACAATCTATATTCACGATTCAGGGTCAACGGTTTTGAATGATAAAAAACCTTCGATTCGAAATGACTGGGAAACGTGCTAATTAGGTTTTAGCAAAAGCAGGTCCAGCTGATTCCAAGATACAGAGCAAAAAGTGCAAAACATGGCAGTTTTTAAGCGAACGCAGCATGCGATTTGAAGTATCCAAAGTACATTTGCATTACTAATATTAACGTGAAGACCTGCTGATTAGTTTTTAGCAAAATCAACTTTTTCCGAAAGAATTGGCATACCTAGTAAGTGATGGTTAAATGTAATAAAGAAAACAGTCCAAGGATTTTTTAACAAAGTTTTTGCCGTTTTATTTTTGTAAAATTTTCAAAGATATATTATCCAT